GGACAAGTAACACTTTGCTTATTTAAACTAATTATGGACAAGTAACACTTTGCTTATTTAAACTAATCATGTACAAGTAACATTTTGCTTCTATAAACTAATCACGGACAAGTAGCACTTTACTTCTATAAAGTAATCATGGACAAGTAGCACTTTTTTATTTAAACTAATCATGGTTTCTGAAGCAGTGAATTGTACCCTTGGTTGTTTAATTAACAATCCTTCTCCAATATATTCTTTCTTGTAAAATTCTGAAAATTTTCTTCATTTTACCAAATCCTGTAACAACTTTCAGTTGTGATCAAATCGAAGGATTAAGCTTGGACAATTCTATTGTTCCCGCTCTCGCAAACATATTCATGATAAAAAGTGAAGATCAAGATATATCAATCAATCTTCTGGGTAAGATAATGATTCTCCATCTACTGGAGAGTTTTTTTTTCACACGTGAACCTGATCCATCCTGACGTTAACTTTACCAGTGAAGATGAAGAAAACCATACACTTACTTCCTGAATGTTCTTGTTAAAAGACACGATGATAAGTTCCACACTTACAGTTATCATAAGAGTACTCACACAAGTGCATATGTATCTTGGAGCTCCTACATCCACACTTACAGTTATCATAAGGGTACTCACACAAGTGCATATGTATCTTGGAGCTCCTACCATCCACACTTACAGTTATCATAAGGGTACTCACACAAGTGCATATGTATCTTGAAGCTCCTACCATCCACACTTACAGTTATCATAAGGGTACTCAAACAAGTGCATATGTATCTTGGAGTTCCTACCATCCACACTTACAGTTATCATAAGGGTACTCACACAAGTGCATATGTATTTTGAAGCTCCTACCATCCACACTTACAGTTATCATAAGGGTACTCACACAAGTGCATATGTATCTTGAAGCTCCTACCATCCACACTTACAGTTATCATAAGGATACTCACACAAGTGCATATGTATCTTGGAGCTCCTACCATGACCTTTCTCAAACATTAGGCATCGTAAAAACTATGTGTCATTCCATCAAGACTATTTGTACGTAATGAACATTTTCAACCAGATCTCGACAAATTAAAAATAGAATTAATAACCCCAAAAGGGTTTTCCTCTAGAACGTGTTAACAAAGTCTTCTTTAAACTAAATAAAAAAAATCCAAATCTGAGTCAAGTAATAATGAATGTCCTATTCATTGCACAGTTCCATTTTACTAAACGTGTCAATTCAATCAGAAGGTTTTGGGGGAAAAAAGTGCAAAAAAATCTCAATTTAACTCATCTGTGAGATCTGTGTTTCTTCCTGGCAGAAAACCTTCATGCAATTTCTATAAAAAATACCAAGATTCTGATACTTCTGGTTCCGTGTATCAATAAATTGTAAACTGTGCGTGGAGTTTTACATTGATGAAACACACAGAGAAGTTCCAACCCGTGTTAAAGAACATAACAACCTCCCTCCCATGTTTGAAAACGTATGCCCAAGCATGGTCATTTTTTCAACCTCACAATGTTGAAATTCTCAATAGAGAACAAAATATATTTCGCCGTAAAATAAATGAAGCCTTATTAATTACACAGCTTGAATCTCAAATTAACAAATATTCTGGTTGAAACAGTTGTATCTTCTTTAACTATGGTTGAAATCTTTTGAGGTTGAACTGCAGTATACATATGTTTTATTTTTTATATTTTTAAGGTGAATTTATGATATAATACAATCAAACTATATTTACCTGTCGAAAATGCGGAGTATATTAAAACCACGTTTCGAACACACACACGTCACAATGTAAAATATTTAAAACTATTTTGTTGTAGATTTTTGAAAGGGTTATAAAGAATGTTAACATTATAATAGTAAGTAATTCACAATACCGAGTGAAATCTAAAATAATGTTTTGAACAATTATTTTGGAATAACATTAAACTGATTTGTATACAATTTTCGACACTTTCACGTTTCCTCTTCTGACTAACGATTGGTTGTTGAGAAAAACACATTCACTGTTTTTGTGTAACGTAAGTTCCAAGTCCCTTAATGGTATATGACGTTAGAAAGAGGGTTTGTTTGTAATTAAGCACAAAGCTACACAATGGGCTATCTGTACTTTGCCAACCACAGGTATCGAAACCCGGTTTCTAGCGTTGTAAGTCCGAAGACATACGGCTGTGGCACTGGGGGAGGGGGGTTGTAGAGAGAGGGTTAAGCTTAAAATGACCTTCATTGGTGTTTGAAATTTGACAACCTTTTGATGAAAGAACTTTCCACAATTTTTGTTTTGACATGATTTCCAGTTTTATATGCCAATTTGGCTGATTTATAGTTGATTTTATGATCAAGATTCTTCATGTATAGAAAAATAGTGTTAATTATTTGATCATTTGCAATATCTGTTTTACTATCCTGCGGTTTTGCTAAGCTCAGCCAATCGAATACCAATTTAACCAGCCGCTAGTTTCTCGTACTGTCTAGATTAGCAGTTCATTAATGATAACGAGAAACCCACTTGAAGTAAAAATGTATAGAAGAGACGGCTGGTATG